ATAGTGTCTGTCTTGCATCCCCAGTGATGGTGACTACCATCACAGCGGATGACTCATGGCTCAGTATTTTGCAGACGTTGCGCAGAATACGTTGTTTGTTTGTTTTTCCAACGACATGTGTCCAGGGTGATTCTGTGTTACCTGATACTGTAGTAAATGCCCTTGGTACTGCCAGATATTTTGGTATAAAACGTGCACTTTCCTTATCAGTTCTCCTCAGTTAATTATTGAATGGTCACATAGGTGCTGACCTCATCATGCAGCACATTCAGTAACAGGTACTCAGTCATAGGTCTCTGTAGTGATGACCTCACAGTGCACATCCAATCACAGGACCACAAAGCCTACAGGTTTCATGTTGGATGAGTCTGGAGCAGATCACTAATGTCTTCTTGACAATGTTGGCAGCAAAGAGGGAGGCAGAGTACGATCCAATATAGTCAAACTGTGTGATGGAAATGGTCTGACCTTCTATTGTCATTGGCGTCATGTTCTAATAGACTACTAATGAAACCTGTACCTCGTGTGAACTGAGACAGGTCAATGCTGAGATTGGTAGTATGTAATTATAGGTGCAGTTACATTACAGGCACCGTTGTTAGGTTATGATAAAGTAACCTATAGCTAATGGGAGTTAGCATTTTTGAAAGTGGGTGATAGAGACTACTACAGCTGTCATGATCTCCATTTATATATATATATATATATGTGTGTGTGAAACCAAGGGCTACACTCACCTGAATATACCTTAGAAGGGTGCTACGGGGGCCAATTCATAAAACATACAGAGAATCCCAGGAGACAGGCTTTCCACAAGTAAGTCTATGTTCTATGTTAGTGCAGTTTATTGCAACTCTTATATTGTATTAAGTGCTTTATATGATCACACAAGCAGCGTCTGGGGCCTTGGTGCATGTTCATTGATCCACTATTGCCAGCCTGCTGTGGCATTAGAGAATCAGAAAGAACACAATGTATCTGTACTCACCGCCATGTTTATATGATGCCCTCTCACACTATCATCTGGGAGCAACTCTACCCCCAAACACTTGCTGCCATCTACTACTTTCTCATACAGTATATAATACGGAGCAGCTCTGTACTCACTGCCATTCACTGCTCTCATACCATATGTACACCGAGAGC